GTTTGAGAACTATGTAGACGTGACCAAGACACGACTCCGGTCAATAACCAATAGCGGAACCTGGATGTTCATATTGGCTCCTACATATTCTACGAAGATCTTTATCGGTCAAACCGCATAACAACATATGTTGTTCCCTTTGTCATCAGTATGTTACTTGCCCGAGATTCGATCGTCAGTATCTCAATACCTAGTTCAATCTCGTTACCAGCAAGTCTCTTTACTTGTTCCGTAATACATCATCCCGCAACTAACTCATTAGTTGCAATGCTTGCAAGGCTTAAGTGATGTGTATTACCGAGTGGGCCCAGGGATACCTCTCCGACAATCGGAGTGACAAATCCTAATCTCGAAATACGCCAACCCAACAAGTACCTTCGGAGACACCTATAGAGCACCTTTATAATCACCCAGTTACGTTGTGACGTTTGCTAGCACACAAAGTGTTCCTCTGGTAAATGGGAGTTGCATAATCTCATAGTCATAGGAACATGTATAAGTCATGAAGAAAACAATAGCAACATACTAAACGATCAAGTGCTAAGCTAATGGAATGGGTCAAGTCAATCACATCATTCTCCTAATGATGTGATCCCGTTAATCAAATGACAGCTCTTTGTCTATGGCTAGGAAACATAACAATCTTTGATCAACGAGCTAGTCAAGTAGAGGCATACTAGTGACACTTTGTTTGTCTATATATTCACACATGTATCATGTTTCCGGTTAATACAATTCTAGCATGAATAATAAACATTTATCATGAAATAAGGAAATAAATAATAACTTTATTATTGCCTCTAGGGCATATTTCCTTCAGGTGCTACCTTCCGGGGGCGTAGGTTGGTGAGGAGACAGCCCGTCGTTGACCCGATCCTTGTTTGGTGGCAGTCGCGTGGGCCAGTGATGGTGCCGAGGCTTCCGGACACCGCAGAGGTGGTACGTCACCGTGTCAGCGAGGAGGACGAGCACGTCCGTCGCTACATGGTTGCGTTGGAGGGCAGGTTCGACAATACCTGGCAGGTTCTTCAGGGATCTCACTGGAGCTATGATCCTATGATGGTTCCTTCTCTTTGGGTGTCCACCGCCCGCGTCGATACCCGTCGGGCGCTATGGTTCTAGCTGTATTAGCGATGTTATATTTATGATAGTATTCGAGGTGTATTAGTGATAATATTCGACGATGTATGGAGGCAAGAGATGATGTAGTTTTGCTTATAATTGAATGCATGCTAATTTGAATACTACTTTATTTTACGATTTGGTTTTGCTTATTGAATGCTCAAATTGGAAAAACTACTCCTACTTTGAATGCTAAAATTGGAGAGCACTGTGCAAGGCGTATGCATTTGATTAGTTGATAGCTTATAGGGTTTTTGTTTTTGCAGAAATCTAGGAGCCCCCTCCATCATCCCCGATGTCGTCCCCGTCACCGACCCCCCTCCAACCTCGAGGTGAGACCAGCCAAATCTCCATGTCAATATAAGTCCTATAAGATATTTTGAAATGTTTTTGCTCATATTTTCAACCATTGAAATGTGATGGCCATCAAGTTTGAATGCTCATATGATGTAGAAGTTTAATATTTGAATTATGAACATAGGAAATGTCGTACTCGGACGACGAAAGTCTCCCGGGGGAGTGCGACTGGTGCCACGACGACCGAGGTCTGTGCGACAGGCCTCACCTAGATGAAGATCGGCGCTTCAGCATTAAGCTCGAGGAGACCTTCGATGTTGAAACGGTACGCAACGATGACAAGTGTTTTTTTTGTAATTAAGCACGACTTCAACTATTTCAGCATGTAATTTTCATATTTTACAATTCGACTAGCTTTATCCCATGCCATGCAAGACGCTATGTCTTGGAGAGGATGGGTTTTGAAGACCATGAAAGGATGGAAACAAAGAAAACTCACCTAAGGACCCATCATGGTATGAATTTCGAAGTAAAACTGTACAATTCTGAGAGCGTAACCCATTTTGGTTGCAAAAAATGGGAAGAACTTTTGCAAGATGTATGGTTTTCATGAGGATATGCTTGTCACCATGGATCTTCGTGATCCTGAAATCGAGCAAGACAATATGGACATTTGGGTCTTTGTTGATACACCTCCAATTCTACCACTATGTGAATTTCTCAAACATAGTTATTAACTAATTTATATTGTTTATTTCAAAATAGTTGACAACTTATTTTCATTAACAGCTTATTTCATTGTTCAAAGAATGTGCGGAAGATGGTAGACAAAACCCACTACAACGATGACTCCGAATTAACTTATTAGGAGATAAATCATCTGATCGCATTTTGTACTAATATCGAAAATTACAATATCTACAATCAAACTCCTCAACATTATGGTCAATACGTGCCACTAGTGCACGTGTTGAACCACGGTAACTACCATGGAGATACCCTGATAAGATTTTTTACTATTATGACATCCGTGCATCTTTTGCGTACTTCTAAAACTAGTACATCATTGCTAACTATGAAGTTATTACTATATTTTTTAACAGAAAATCCCGATGGATTGTGTGCCTCATTTGATGTATCAGAAAGGTAGGCTTGATGTTTTGAACATACATCCAGATCATCCTAAGAATTTGAACTATCCATACCGGATTTCTAAAAGAAGTGGAGACATGCTAATCAAAGAATGGAAAAAATGTATGGATAGTCGTAAGAAGGTTTTTGGAAGCAAAAGGAAGCGAAGCACAAGAATTACAGACATGATGATCTCCATTCTCCATAATGGAGAGTCAGGGTCTATATTGTTTTATGCTATTTTACCTTTAAAAGGGTATTTAGGTCCTACCTAATACTGATGATCATGTGCTAAGAACAATTAAGTAGGGTTGGTTCGATGACTATGAGAATGATGATCGTATGACTTGTTATTAATAACGAGTAGAAGTTGTATGATGATGATTAATAGGACTTGTTATTATGATGATGCATGATGCGAGCATGAAGAGTTATTATATATCAGTGGGTGAAATGAACATGGATTGAATTGAAGTGAAGGCAATATGTGGTGCATGTCAAAAGTAATACTAATCCTACGATCAAGTTAGGATTAGTATTACTTTTGACATGCACCACATATTGCCTTCACTTCAATCTAAGCCATGTTTAGGCATAGCATTAGCGTTGGTAAATCAAGCACGGAGATAAGAGAGGACACTTCTCTATATTAACTAGCTAACAATCTAAATTAACCCCCAAAACCCCTAAACCACCCCCTTTCAAAAAAACAAAAACCTCAGCTCTTGCTAGCTGCTGACGCGTTGATGCCTTTTGGTCCCGGTTGGGCTCGCCGCAGCGGCCACGTGGAGGCCCATCTGTTCCGGTTCATGTAAGAACCAGGACTAAAGTCCTAGGGCATTATTAACGACCCTTTAGTCCCGGTTCGCCAACCGAGACAGATGGGCCTTACGAACCGGGACAAATGGCCATTTTTCTACTAGTGTAAACGAGCATCGTCAGAAAGTCTGTAATAAATTCAAAAAATGCGATCATCAGGACTTGAACCATGGTAGGTTGGTTCCACCGCAAAGAATCTAACCATCTGATTTACGCTTGGTTCACCAAATCAACGGTGCTAGATATGCAATATTTTAGCTTGTGGAATAAGCGTCCATGCCATCCGAGCTTATTATAGACCAGCGCATTTCCCTCGAGGGGAGGGATTAATTTGTTTCGGGTGTCATGTGAGCAGGGTAGGACTTGCTTGTGATGCACCGCTCAGTCGTGTGGAGGAGTGGAATTTAGGAGCCACCGCGTGCGCGGCGTCGAAAGGAAAGGGGAGCGCATCACTTCCCTTTGGTTCGCCCTTCTGCCGATTCTCGGCTCGTCCAACCCAGAGATCCTTCTCTCTGTAGTCCATTTCCAGCTCCATCCTTCGTATCCTCGTCAACATTAATTGGTGCAATTAGTGGCGAAGTCCTGCTTGTAGCCGTGGACCTTGCTCAGCCGAGATCATCAAACCGGCCATCACCTCGGTCACGGGAGGAGGCAGGATTAGGCCATGCCCCGGGCCTGCCTAGGTGTACTGTAGCAGCAGGACATTGTGCGGCGGTGCCCAAAGCCTGCGTGCGGCGCTCGCGCCCCGGGTCGTGGCCCGACGTGCCTGGGTTTGTCTCCGCCCTGGGTCGATGATGCCGTTGTGCAACTCAAGTCCACCCCGCACGTGAGCGAGAAGAGAGTATGGTGATCTCGGAGAGAGACGACGGTGGTGACTACGAGCACCAGAATGAGAGAGAGGGAGAGGTGTATAAACCTCGCAGAAAAATCTTGCATCCGTTTCGGTCCTTCTTTTACTTTCTAAACCATTTTCCCCTCAAAGTGTATATCACTTCAACAAATCGACAACTCGTTTTTTTAATACGTACAATCGTAGATACCCACATACACACATACACTCGCCTTCTATGAAAGCACGCACGCATGCCTCACAGTCGACAGGAACATCTCCTCCCACTGAACCAGCATTGTTGAGGAGTCTGAAATAATAATAAATCTAAAAAAATGCAAGCACAGGGACTTGAACCCTGGTGGGGTCGTTTCACTTCAAAGAATTACCCTCTGTCGCCGAATCAAATGTGGTAGATATGCAATATTTATTCTAAAAAAAAGATATGCAATATTTTAGTTTGTGGACTAACCGTTCATGGCATTAATTTGCTTCAGATGTCAGCACCGTAGGACTTGCTTGCGATGCACCGCTTCGTGGCGTGGAAAGGAGAGCGCATCACTTCCCCGTCACGCCCGCGGCGGTAGTCAATCAACGGCGATCAACGGACTAATAACCAGGTCGTTCGGTAATGGAGTCCCCCGGGTAAATCCACCACACGGCCACACACACAGCCCCGTCAGATTCGAGGCCCACTCTCCCATCCCACGCGCCAGATCGAGCCCGGGCCGCGCCAGAGCAGAAGTCCCCGAAGCACGCGCGCGGCGGGAGCGGGGGGGATCGGCTTCGCCGGAGGCGCGCGATGGGGCTGGAGGCCGGCGAGCCCAGCTCCTTCCTCAGGTGCGACCTCGCCTGCTCCATCCCCCCTTCCTCCTGTCACATCCCGCCCGCCGTCTTCCCGTATCCTGGAATGAAATTTCACCTCGCCGTCCTGGGGCGAAAGCTGTGCGCGGATTCGGGTGGTTTCTGTCACTTCTTGGGTGCGACACCCTGATTTCAGCAGTGGCAAATGGGTACTTCTTGGGTGACTCTGGACGCGGCTCATGGCGGAGGCGAGAGGGGGTTCTTTTGTAGGCTGGGCTGGGGGATAGGATTTGGATTTGAGTGTGGCGCTCTAGCTTTCACCTGAGAAATATGCTTAGTTTTCATTGAAATGTTGGGACTATCTGAAACACTGGATGGAGCCTTACTACACAATCTACTTTTCACCTCACAAATATGGCTGGCTGGCTCCACTGAAATGTTTGACACTACCTGAAAAACTGGATGGAATCTTTGGTCTTTACTATCCAAATTGTTGTGTAGGTCGACCTATCTGGCTGCCTGATATTCTAGTTTTCTATAAACAATTGATAGTATATGACAAATGAATGCGTGTACAGGGCAATTGTTTGTTAAATCATATGTGTGGGGCTACTAGCACTGGTAAAGAACAACGAACAAGTTGCGTTCCTGGTTTACTTAATTAATCTACTAAGAACAATTAAACATTCTTGTGCCTACTGCCTACAGGGGACCTGCATATGCAGAGTCAGAGAGGCCTGGTGACTCTTCTCTTGTACTATCCAAACTAAGTCTGTCACCTGCTGCTAGATTGTGTAGAGGAGAAAGATTGGGATTTTCTGTACATCTACTGTCAAGATCAGGATGGAATGAGAAATGCATCAGCCGTTAGGGGCGCCTGACCATTTCTCCATTTATATGCTCTTGCAGCTTATCTTCGGCCTTTTCATATGGAGTTGCATCTATGGCGATGGTTTTCGTCAACAAAGCGGTTATTATGCAGTATGTTCACTCCATGACCCTCCTCACTTTACAGGTATGACTGAGCATTACCGACGAATGCCGATAAAAACGTTACTTCTTTATATGTTTTTCTAAGCCTGGTTGGGTTGTTCACTTTCTCGTTTATTGCAACAGCAATTAGCTACCGCACTTTTCATACATTTCGGGCAAGTTCTAGGAATGTATAAAAGGAAAGATCTCAGCATGGCAACAGCAAAGAAGCTTCTTCCTGTGTCAATTTTCTATAATGCAAATGTCGCATTTGCTCTGGCAAGCTTGAAAGGGGTTAACATCCCTATGTATATTGCAATTAAGAGGCTCACACCCCTTGCCGTTTTGGTGTCTGGGTTCTTAAGGGGGAAGGGGAAGCCATCAACACAGGTAAAAATGTTTTCCCTCATGCAGTGGTTTCCTTTTTTCCATCTACACACATAACCAAACACAGGCCTGCAGAGCTTTCCCTCTGGAAGGGATGGCTTATTACTAGAAGCACTTCCTCATCTCTGCAAATTGTTTTAGGTGTCGCTTTCGGTTGTCTGCACCGCCTTAGGCGTCCTTGTTGCAGCACTTGGAGATTTTTCTTTTGACTTGTATGGATACAGTATGGCTCTAATATCGGTCTTCTTCCAGGTTAGCTTTTGTAATCTGGTTAACACCACACACACACACACACAAGAATTGGCTATAGTTCTAACTGACATAGTGTGTATCAGACGATGTATTTGATTCTGGTGGAGAAATCAGGCGCAGATGATGGTCTTTCCTCAATGGAGTTGATGTTTTATAACAGCATATTGTCGATTCCATTTCTGTTTTTCATCATTGTTGCAACCGGAGAATTCCCCCATTCTCTTTCAGTTCTGTCAGAAAAGGTTAGTAAGTTGTAATGGGTATAGGTTTATCAAACTTCATTAGCACATATAAGATGGCAATCTTTTTGTGCTTTGTTCGGATCCCCTTTAGCTCATGACTGCGTAACCATTCACACTAGGATTCTAGATCAGATGGACTGGTACTTAAATGTTAGTAAATATAATATGACTTAGATCTTGATCGTTTGTTTCTGCATCAGATGCTTTCTAGTTTGCTCTGTTCCAAGATACTTATCCGTTATCTCTTGAAATGCAGACAGCCTCTGCATCATTCAGTGTTATTCTTCTGATTTCACTGGTGATGGGTATCGTTCTCAATTACACCATGTTCTGGTGCACAATCGTAAACTCTGCCCTGACAACCACGATAGTAGGAGTTCTCAAGGGCGTCGGGTCCACGGTATGTCTATCAGTCTATGATGTGCTTTAGCTCCGACCTTGTAGAACTTAAGCATCTGATGCCATGTTTGTATCGTTGACCTTTCAGACCCTGGGTTTCATGGTGCTGGGAGGCGTCAAGGTGCACGCTCTCAACGTCACCGGGCTGGTGATCAACACGTCCGGTGGCGTGTGGTATTCCTACGCAAAGTACACGCAGAAGAAGAAACTGCCACGAAGGGTCGCACCCGACGAAGAGTCGCATCCGCACAAGTAGCAGCAGCGCCGGGTCAGCGCTCGATATAACTTATGTAGTCACACCACATTCTTAAAAGGAGACAATAAATCTATTTTTTTTCTGGACGCCATCCATCAGCAGCGCTATTTGGCGCAGAGGAAGGTACAAAGTTGTTCCTTTTCTTTTCTCCTTTTAACTTTTATAAATAGCACCGTGTGTTTATCAGCAGCATCATAGTCCATAGGGGAGTGATCTCAGGGAATCAAGTAACTGTAATGTTGGGATGAATCATTACCACACTGTACTGTACTTTTTCCCTATCAGTTGTACTAGCAAGATTATCAGTGGGTTTTACCCCGAAAGGTTCACTCATTTGAAGAGAAACAGACCTGCACTTTTTTTTTCCCTTTGTTGAGAAACATGCATGCAAACATGTGAGCTCTGTGGATGGCATGAACGATGTTGTCAAAATGCCAATCGTTCTGGGCAAAGATAGCAAAGCATAGCTTCACCTTTTGCTACACTGATGATTGCAAGGATGTGTTCTGATCATTTATGGTTGTCCCATTTCCGCCAGGTTCGTGCATGTGAACTCCTGGCTTATGCTTTGTGGCTATCTCTGATGAGATTGGCCAAACCTTACACTTGATAAGCTCACCATGGACGTCGTATCCGGGCTACAAATCTGACGTCACATTTGTAGGCATGGCAAATATGATGTCCGGGCTACAAACCTTTGACGCACGTTTCTTGCTAGGATTTGCCATGTTCACCCAAGGAAATTGCCATGCTCGCGACAACATAATTTGCCATGTTTGCTGAACGAAATTACCATGCTCGTGACAACATAATTTGCCATCTCAAACATAAGATTTTCCCTGCTGAAAAGCAAAATTGTTGTGGTTGCTGTGCAAGGACATTTTTACATCAAAGTTGTACAGCGCGCCCGAATAGCAGCGAATCCACCTGAGGGCTCAGGATCTCACTGTTAAACCAACCCAGCACCAGCAGTTGAGGGAGAAAGACATTTTTCGATAAAGAGGGAGAAAGACATGACCAAGCCAATGAAAAACCAGGCTATAGAAATAATAGAACAAACCAATGCACACACACACCCACACACCCCACTCACAATCTGATCGCCCAGTCAATACAAGCAGCAGTGTGCCCCTTTGAGGTCACAAGAATAACTCAAACATAATTACATCTGGATGTACAATATGAGCATCCTAAAGCTAATCCTACAGCACTGTCCTACCGTTCCCAAACCCAAACCCCAGAAGCCAACCAGTCTACCCTGCCCCAAATCTAGCTTGAGCATTTCCCTGAGATGAGCAGTCAGTCACCAGTGAGCTTGAGCCCCAAACTCAGCTTCATATTTACAGATCATCGCAAAGGGCGCCTCAGTCCGCGATCAGCGATCGCCGTCGTGGCAAACAATAATATATCAACCTTCTTCTCCTAGTCGTCGTGCTCCACCGAGAAGTCCGGCTCGGAGGGCTTCCTGAACTTAGGCAGCTCCCGGTGGCCATCCGACCCTTTCCTGGCCGCGGCCATGATCTTCGCCGCCCGACCGTGCTCGGCGAAGGAGCCACCGCCATCGCCATCCTCATACGACCTCATGGAGGAGAAGGACTCCCTCATCATGAGGTCCCTGGCCAGCCGACGGCGCTTGTGGCGGCGCCAGGTGGCCTGGATGAAGCAGGCCGCCCAGGTCCTCCAGTGGTGGGAGTAGTACCGGAAGGTGTGCTGCAGCTTCCTGCTGTGGAGCCGCCTGAACTGGCTGGCCACGAACCGGAGGTCCTCGGCTTGGAGGGCGAACGCCTCCACCTCTACGAGCGCCTTCACCGTCCTGGTGGATGATGGCAGGTTGACGGTCGGCCTGGGGACGAGGGCCCATCCGAGCAGCTCTTCGCCGCAGAAGTCGCCGGACTTGAGGATGATGGAGTTGAAGAAGCCCGTCCGGCCGCCGTCCGTGGTGGAGCTCTCCAGCTTGCCGCGGATGATGAAGAGCATCTCGGTCACCGGGTCGCCCTCGCGGACCGTGTACGTGCCCTTCGTGCTCAGGGAGGAGACCAGGCGCCCACAGATGGCGTCCAGGAGCTGGTCGTCCATCTGTGAGAAGAACGGCACCTGAAACGTAGCAATATGGAAACAAGTAGTGAGACTCGATCATCGAGTGGTTTGTAATGCCATGAACTCAATCATCAGATGGATGTGAAGTTTACCAAGTATGCAATTGTTCAAACAACAAAAGGTAGTAGGAAAGTTAATTTTACCCGGCGAACAAGATCCAAGCAAAGGTGACGGTTGATGTCACGGCGAAGATCTGCAGGCAGAGCCTTCAATATAGATGCTTCGTCCACGCCTCGAGTTGCAAGCCACTTGTAGTGAATAAATCTTCTCACCCTTTCCTGTAGTACAGGAGGAAGTTGGCGATGTTTCATCCACTCTTCGGTATCTCTTTGCTTTACTCTCCACTCCTCAACCCTTGCAGTGATGGATTGTAGGTAGGTCTAGCAGATAAAATATTGTAATAAGTCCACTGTTTCTTGCAAATAATTATGTTGAGAAGTGTGAAGTTGAAACAAACGGGCCTTTTTTGGTATTAATTACTAGAGCAGAGGTAATAGGAGGAATGTAACCCAAACTCTCTTTCTTTCCAAAGCAATGAAATGCAAGCTCTCTTGCGTTTTCTCGGGAAAAAAATTCCGGTAAATACCCAAACGGAAAGCTGTTTTCATCACCCATAAAAATACAATCTAAGTAATGCATGTATAAAATAGAATAGTGGAGCTGGTTTAATAAGGTAAAGAGCTAATGTTAGGAGCTAGGGTTCTGCCGGTTCTTGGGCGGAGATTGTAGGGGAAAGATGGAGGAAGACGAGGTCAAGGGCGCGGCGGCCGGCAGCTGGGCGCCGTCCTTGCGTGGTGGAGAAGAGGCGGCGGCGGCGCAAGAGGTGGCTAGGGTTAGATCTCCCGGCTCCCTAAGGGAAGCCGAGCAAATACTGATTGCTTCTTGCTTGATTAGATTGATACATCTCCTCTCCTTATATAGAGAGGTTTACTTGACTCCTAAGAAAACGACCTAATACCGATAAGATAGTTGGGCTAAGCCCCTAATAACGATAAGATAACTTGGGCCACAGCCCACCTAATATGCCGGTCATAACACTTCTCCCCGCCTGCACAAACAGCTCATCCTCGAGCTGTAAGGCAGGGAAGCGCTTGCAGAACTCATCGAGGTGATCAACCAGCGTCAAACACCTCCGCGACAGCTGGGGCGGCCAGGTCGCCGAGCCCGGCGGCGACGGCGTCCTCCTCAATGTAGTCTGCAGCCTCCAGGTAGAAGAGTCGAGGGCAGACGTGGCCGGGCATGTAGGTCTCGTCGCAGTTGAAGCACAACCCTTGGCGGCGACGCTCGAGTAGCTCGACCGAGGTGAGCCGGCGGAACAGGCGCGCCGCGGAAGCCTGAGTAGGCCGACCCTGCCTGGGAACATCCGGCCAGAGTGGCGGCCCAGCGGCTCGGGACGGTGATGCCTGTTGGATGGCCACCGCGCGGCGCTCGAACGCGCGGGCGTAGTACATGGCCGTCTGGAGGTCCTGGGGTCCCTGCAGCTCGACGTCCACGCGGATATGATCTGGCAGACCGCCGACGAAGAGTTCGGCCCGCTGGTGAGCCATCACGCCGGACGCGTGGCACGCCAGGGCCTGAAAGCGGTCGGTGTAGTCCTGCACCGTAGAGGTGAAGGGAAGGCGGCCCAACTCCACCAGCCAGCTCCCACGTATCGGTAGTCCGAATCGAAGGAAGCAGAACTCGCGAAAACGCTCCCATGGGGGCATGCCGCCCTCGTCCTGCTCGAGGGTGTAGTACCACGTCTGTGCGGCGCCGCGGAGGTGATAAGAGGCGAGCCAGGTGCGGTCCGACGCAAGCGTCCGTTGCCCCCGAAAGAACTTCTCGCACTGGTTGAGCCAATTGAGGGGGTCCTCGGCGCCGTCATAGGTGGCGAAGCGCGGCGGTGTCTGAGCATGACCGCCGTGAGTGTACAGCTCGACGATACAGAGCAGCGAAGAGGATGGCGTTGGTCCGATGTGCACAGGTGGTCCACAGGAAAGCGGTGGCCCGTCGAAGCCAGCGTGGAAACCCGCGGAGCCGGAGGGCCCGGCGTACGACAGGGAGGGTGTCGGCTGGTCTGCGGCCATGGTGTAGACCGGCGGCGGTGACGTCCCGGCAAACGAGGCCGGAAGCTGGGACGGCGAGGGCGGGAACCGCACTTGCTGAATCAGCACGCCCGCCGGCGCGGTTGTAGTCAGCCCGGTGCTGGGCGGCGGAGGCGCCGGCAGCGGCAGCAGCTGCTGCCTGGAAACAGCGGAGGCGGCGGGCGCGGCGATGGCCGCGGCCGGCCATTGTGGCCAGATCAAGGCGATGGCGGGGGGCTGGCTGTAGCTGCAGCGAGGACTGCAGCGGCCCGACCAGCGTCGCGGTGGCCCCCGGGTGCGGCGGCTACCAAGGCTGCCAGGGCGGTGGCGGCGACGACCCGGGTGGCGCGGATGACGCGGCGAGGGCCGGCGCTGGCCACTGCTGTCATTGGGGCGCGGCGGCGGGCGGCGGCTGAAGCGGCCAGTGGTGGTGTAGAGGCCCGGTCGGCGCCGCAGGTGCCGAATACCACGGCAGGGCAGCATCATCTGCCGGGGAGTAGACGGCGGCCGATGGTGCGGTGGAGGGCGCCATCATCTAGGTGGTGGCGGCGCCGGAGGATGCGACCAACGGCGCGGACGGGGAGGGCAGCGGCGCGGTGGAGAAGGCCAGCGGCGCAATGGTGACGGTCGGCATCGGAAGTGACGGGATGGGCGGCGGCAAAGACATGATCGGAACCGAGCTACCTGATACCAAGGTGTTAGGAGCTAGGGTTCTGCCGGTTCTTGGGCGGAGATTGTAGGGGAAAGATGGAGGAAGACGAGGTCGAGGGCGCGGCGGCCGGCGGCTGGGCGCCGTCCTTGCGTGGTGGAGAAGAGGCGGCGGCGGCGCAAGAGGCGGCT